CAGGCAAGTCGAACCTTATGGACGCCATCAGCTTCGTGCTGGGCGAGAAGACGAGCAACCTGCGGGTGAAGACGCTGCGGGACCTGATCCACGGGGCGCCCGTGGGCAAGCCGGCCGCCAACCGGGCCTTCGTCAGCATGGTGTACTCCGAGGACGGGGCCGAGGACCGCACCTTCGCCCGCGTCATCGTGGGTGAGCGCCGGGGGGCGGCGGGGCGGGGGCTGGGCTGCGGGGGGCTCGCCCCGGGCGCTGCCGGGACTGACCCCACCATCCCTTGCAGGGGGCTCGTCGGAATACAAGATCAATAACAAAGTGGTGCAGCTGAGCGAATACAGCGAGGAGCTGGAGAAGCTGGGGATCCTCATCAAAGCCAGGAACTTCCTCGTCTTCCAGGTGAGGGTGGGGCGTGCCTGACTTGTGGGTCCATCCAGGCGTGGGCAGGGGGGAGGAGGAGGATAGAGACGGGGCTGGCTGGCTCTGGGGGCCTGACCTGGCCCTGGCCCGCTCTCCGCAGGGGGCGGTGGAGTCGATCGCCATGAAGAACCCCAAGGAGCGCACGGCGCTGTTCGAGGAGATCAGCCGCTCGGGGGAGCTGGCCCAGGAGTACGACAAGCGCAAGAAGGAGATGGTGAAGGCCGAGGAGGACACGCAGTTCAACTACCACCGCAAGAAGAACATCGCGGCTGAGCGCAAGGAGGCCAAGCAGGAGAAGGAGGAGGTGGGGTGGGGGCAAACTGGCCCTGGGGGCAGGGAAGAAAGAGGTGGGGTGAAATCTCTGGGGGTATGGGAGGCAGGAGGAGATAGTCAGTGGGGGTAGGGGCGGTGGGGTGGGGTGTCTACTTTTCGGAGGTGGCTGGGCTTTGGGAGGTGTTGGATGGAGGGCAGGGGGGTTCTAGTGGATGGGTGCTTGGGGTCTGGATGGGACTTGGGGGGGTAGGTGGGAGTGGGTGTTGTGAGGGGGTTCTAATGGGCGGGGTATCTGGGTGGGATTTGGAGGGCAGGGGGGAGTAGGGGGCTGGGCACAGCCTCTGGCGCCTGTGGGGAGCTCTAGTGGGTGATGGGCCGGTGGGGCAGGTGGATGAGGCTGGGCCCACAGGAAGAAGGTGGGGCGGGGGGGGGGGGGGGGGGGGGGGGGGGGGGGGGGGGGATCTAGAGGGGGGGGGGGAGGAGGGGGAGGTGGGATCTTTAGGTGGAGGTTGGGGCTGGAGGGGATCCTTCA